TGTTTCAGCAGGTGAAAGCCTGAGTGCTGAAGACCTGTGGAAAGAACAGAGAACGGAATTACCAAGGGATGTTGGACGTTTAGCTTCTGTAAGTCAACAGTTAGCCAAACCACGTGAAGCTGGTAACATACTTCGCCCTGCAAGGTCAACCTCGTCCGACCAGAGGCGTTATAACCTCGTGATCTTCCACGCGCCGAAGTCCAGTGATCCATCACCCCAAGTGCGCTACGATCACAATGTTAAGTTTTTACAGACTCTAATTGACAGACTCCTCTACGCTGGTGAGGACTCGGTAAAAGTGAGGCAAATTACCCGTCTTGGAAAGCAAGGTGATCAACAAAATCGTCCTATGTGAATCACTTTTGTGGATGAAGGCAGTCCAAGACTGATCTTGTCCCGCCTAAATAGGCTGAAAGTTTTAAAGATCCATGTTCGTCCAGACCTGAAACCAATAGACCGGGAACGGCTCAACTCTGCCATCATTGAGCTGAAAAGACGTACTGGTGAGGGGGAAACAAATCTTCGTATCGTAAATTTTCTGGTGGTTTCCAATAATCTGCGAATCAGGATAAACAGGTTGCTCACACTTCAAGCACGCCCGGCGGCTCCTGCTGCGGCCTGCGAGTAGCCTTCACAAACGTTTGCTGTGTTATGAACAAGTTTGATGAGCTTTATTGTTTCGTTGCATCTAAGCGGCCAGACGTAGTGGGGCTCGCAGAGACATGACTGCATTCAGAGTTATGCACCTAAGAACTTGAACTCAACGGGTTACTCGTACTTCCTATGCGATAGATTAACGAATGGCCTCGGTGGTGTCGCTCTACATCCGATCTTCCCTGCGTGGGAAACTTGTGAGCATCTGCCGAAGTGACGATGGTTTGTGCGCGCTACTGTAGTGCTCCATCCACATCAGGCGCGGAGAACTACTTGTGGGCGCAGTTTATCGCAGTCCCCTGAGTCGTTGTTTGGATTGGCTGCCCCATCTTCGAATCCACATGAGTCGTCCACACTTTTTACTTATAGGCGATTTTAACTGTCCTCGAATACGATGGCCTAATGTGCATTTGATGCCTGGACAGTGTGAGGTTGAAGCAAATTTCGTGGATTTGTTACTTGAAACTGGTGCATCGCAACGCATATACCAGCCAACACGCATAACACCACGCTCAACCCCGTGCTGTCTCGACCTGGTGTTAACGAGCTACGAACAACAAGTGCGTGACGTTCGGATCCTGAAGCCTCTGACTACAGGTGACCACTCAGTGCTCATAGCTGATATGGAATTACCTTTGTCGTATTCACGTCCGTTGCAACCAGCACCACAGTATCCGTGCTTCTTCTGTAACGAAGGAGATCGTCAAGTTGCTGATAGAAATCATCTTGCACCGAATCAGGGTTGCAGTGTGTGGGTCCGTAAGCTGCAACGACAAACAGGCACCGTTTGTCCCCGCGCGACTTCGTAGCATGGAACAAGCCAGCCAATTCAACGGCGCACATTCGGTCGTTTATTGGAATCCAGTTTATCAGGGCAGTTTTGAGCCCGGGTACTCAAAACAATGCCGACGCCAGCTTGACCTGTATTTGAAGTTGCGTCATCGCCAGACAGGCGCGATGAGAATGTGCCGCCAGTGGGGGATCGCAGAGTAAGCACGGAGCTCGAAACTTGCAGGCGGGTCTCCGATAAACAGCAAATATCGATCAATAGGATCTCTAGTGTTCGGGCAAGTGCTGCCTGTTGAGCAATCCGTAGCAAGGTGCGCACGTTGAGGGATGCCAGTCTTAGCCAGGCATGCGGACTCCAAAGGGCAACGGATGAACCGACGTTGCCCACTTGCTTGAACTTAGACTTGTCGACTGGATTGGAGCGCGGCCATGCGATTGTGTGTGATTTGAAATTAGAAGACACGCGACCATTGTAGTAAGCTGGGGGAGGGCCAAGAATTGAGGGGTTGAACATGGGGGGTATAAGTAAAGTTGGAGCGGGACGATAAGGATGAAGAAGCGCAAGAAGGGGTATAAGAAGACGGGAAGGCCTGAGCAGTAGCATCCATACCCCTATCCACCCTGCTCGATGCAACAGATAGGGCGCCGTTTATTATCCTCTGCGACGGCCAGAGCATCAAGAAATTATTAGAAGAAAGGTTCATTGTGTTGCGTGGGCAGAATACTGTCAGGTTGCCCAGGCCTAGACAGGAGAACGATTAGAGTTCTCAACCAAAGCCTTTGATTCAAAAACCTTACCGCAAGGCAGCAGGGTTTTGGTACTGGACTACAGAGAGTCCGTTTTATGGAGTAAGGATTCACCCTCACCCCAACCTAGAGGGCCAGGAGACTGAGTTTGTCTGGCCTCTAACCATTAATCAATCTGGTATGAGTGGCTCTGAAGGTGCAAATAAAAGCAGCACCCAGCATAGCTCAATGGATCACCGAGGCACACAAACCATTGCACCACGTTAAGGTCCAGTCTCATCGCGATGGCTATATCGTAACGGACTGCGCATGCTTTGGGCGTTCGAACGTAGCTTCGGCACATGGTCTGAAGAGGTTGTCACTCGCCTCTTCTCTTTTATCATTAGACCAATGCTAGAGTACTTTTCGCCCGCCTACTTTCTCATTACTCGAGACGAGGCATAAAAGATCGAACAGGTCCAACACGTTTCTACCAGACTCATCCCGAGTTTACGTTGCTTGGGGTATGAAGACCGGTGCGAGAAACTAGGACTCTACACCTTGTCCTACCGTCGGGTGCGAGTCGAACTCATTTTGACCCACTGTATTTTACATCTCGGTGGCTTCCCCATGCTGAGACCAATGCTACATTTACGCGGACCATGCAACACATGCGGACACAGATACAAACTTGTCGTGCCGGATGTGAAACGTGTTCCCCACCCACTGTGCTTCGAATGGAGAGTGGTAAATATTTGGAACAGTTTGCCTGAATATGTGCCGAAAGCAACATCTGTACAACAGTTCGAAAGGTTGTTAGATTTATATTTTACCACTATTCGGTTCAGAGAACGATTGCACACTTACGATGACATCTCACATTTGTGAGTCCTGCAATACCGTGAGTCAGATATTTTACATGTTACATGAAAACAATAACGATATTCACGGCTGACAATTCTTACAACGTTTTTCACCATATTTCGAAAGAGTTGTACAAAATTCACTTCTATTTGCTCTATACTGCAGTATTAGGTGGCTGGGGCATATGCTTTATCTGCTGTCCGGAGCCGCTGAACAAATCGCTTGTTATGTTTTAGGATACCATCCACAGTGCGACTTATTGTCTCGCAGTGTAATCCCTGTTTCCTCAACGGCATCTGTCTAAGGCTGAGCAGTGCGAAAACGTCCTTCCCACCAATCGCCACGTTCAAATGATCGCCTTTATCCCCAATTCAAATGATGCGTTATGGCGGAGATCACCTATTCATTGTTGAGCTTTAGAATACCCTTCATGTGTTTGGATTGTTTCACGCAATCTCAATCTGAACCACAGTTTAATTTGATGTAATAAACCTGAAACATTTCGATCACTAAGACCGCATCCGAAGTGGAGAGTTCCCATCGTTGCTCCTCCCAACGCTGCACTGCTTGATCGGTTTCCTTTATGTTTTAGACTCGTCAGTTCTCCACGAGCAAAGCTTGGTACGGCGGTGGCGGAATTTGTTGTTGGAGTTTCGATTACCCTTTGCTTGTTTGGATTGCAGTAACTGGTCAACGCTAGTCCCCAGGTGGACCAACCGACCTTATGATTGGTAGTTCATACTGAGATCTCCGAGCTAATGGTTCGATTCTTTTGAAGCTCCACCAGATTATACAAATGTTGGAGAACATTTGTATCTAGTCCGGCTGCTGACTTCCTACACCTTTGATTTTTTGCCCCACCACCCATAAGTCGGAACAAGTGTTCCTGCAGTTGTCAAATTAATCTTAGTTTCTGGAAAAGCAGGCCAGCTTTCCACTCCGGATCTACTGGACATCTACGTAATCACAGATTGACATTTTTTTCGCTAAATTCCTATATTTTGTACTGACACCCTGTTATCACAGCTCTGAGATAGACTAAAAGATCCTGCAATTGGGAACTTCCAATTACGCAACCCGTTGCCGTCGAACCTGGGTCGGAATGCGTAATCGTTGTTGAGCGTTTTAATATGTGCGCGTCCCATCTTTACACAACTAGATGCTTTATTAACTTTCATCATTGTTGTGTGAGTGTCACTAGCAGTTCTTCCGCTCCCTGCTCACTCATGCAACATTCCCACTACATGCAGTAGGCCGGTGACCGTGAGGATTGCGCGCTTCCGTTGTACTCCGGAGGTCACTGTTTCGAATCCGCGTGGGTGCGAGCGATCTTGCGATATACCCAACCTATGTGCGGCTAGTGGCAGCTGCGTGGCAGTGAAGCCCCGATGCGATATGCCAACGTACTCCTGATGCCCACCGAGTGCAGCTGTTCCGTGTTTGGACTAGTGCTTATCGATTGAATGTTACCTGAATCCCGTGCTCCGTGCGGAGTGCTCTTCCTGTTCTTTGGGTGTGCGCACCCCACAGGCCACAGGAGCCGAGTTGCAGATGACCCTAGAACATTTACTACGGCGCAAGACTCGTCTGGACTGACTGTTGCCTGCCCACCGGACAAAAGACATTATATGTTCGTGTTCCTCTTTGTACTTTGGTTTCAACATTTGTGAGATGTGATAACGGACTCGTCGGCAAGTAGTAGAACCACAGCCTTCTCTAACTTTGGTATACCAATATTCGATGCCAGCTGCGCGGGCTAAACTCAACTACTTTTTCTATGCAAGCACTCTCGTCATTTTACACTTATTCACACCGTTTTTACCTTCAATTGTTTACTTCTGGTAGCGGCTTTTTCATTCTAGATAACACAAATATCGGCTTGACTGAATTTGTTTCCAGGTTATTCTTAAGTGGTTTGATGTACACTTTTTTTTGATCGACGTTTCCTCTATGATCATTCTTATTAGGAACGCAAACCACAACGACAAAGCGTCCGATTGCCGGTCCTCGTAAAGCGCCTACCACTGCCCGGTCTGGTGAGTTATTTTCTACTTACTACTTTGCTGTTGTTGAATGAATCTCTGTGTTCATTCATTGGTACACCGACATTTTTGTTCTATTGATTTGTCATCCAATGCTCCATCATATACGGGGTGATTAACGCTAATGCTTATTAGTTGATTTTTGGCAGCAAATTTCCTGTTTCCGTCCTAACGTTCCCTTTAAATATGAGCAGCTACCTAAGCTCTTTACTCGTCTATCGATCGGCTAGTCCAGCCTGTATTCCTTACCGTCGCTGCACGTTGTTGGGTTACGTTTCAGAGTAGTCGAAGGTATGGAAGTATGAGGAAGGTGGCCGATAAATCAGATTTTGTTGCTTCTTCTCGTCTTCCTGGGAATAAATACACCCTGATAATGTATTTTCCCGGATTTTGATGTATACTATTATAGCAACAGCTACTCTGGGCTATTGTGGTCGGCGCTTATAATTTTTGGGGAATCCTGAGTTGACAGCTAATACTATTTGCACAGCTAATACATACTTGTTGTTACCTTTCACCATGACTTCCGTGAAGCTTAGTTTTCGTTGTTACTATTACGACAGATGGCGTTTCTAAATTGTTCCCATGGAATCAGAAATTAGCAATTGCGCGATGAATGTGCCTTTCGATAGCTTACTTCAAGCATCTACAATTATAAAACAAAATTATGACGCAACTAAGCCGGTGAGGCCTTTATCAGGATTGGGTAGATGACCATAGAAGAAACAATAGTTGTGTCCAACTCGTTAGCTAACTAGTATGAAATAATAATCAATACTTTGTTCAGTCAGACTAAGCTGTAAATGCAACCACGTGACCAATGCTGGACTATTACTGGTGGAGCGAGTTTATGACCAAGATAAATTCAAGCCTTGTACCGCTGTCTGCGCAGTCCTGATTTCAAAGCACTGATTACAATGGCTTTGGCAATAACCGATAGTTTGGTTGCGCTTACGGAAGTACCGCCCACTGCTCCATCCGTACATCCACTATTTGCTCTGCTGGCCTAACCGGGAGGTATTCTAGCGGGAACTAGCTTGCACTCAATGGACACATCCCGGTCATGAATGGGTGATTTCACGTGATACCACCCGGTAGTATTGTGGGATCGTTGTCTTCTTAGAGCCACATAATGGGCACATAAAAGTTGTGAATGGGTGCTCACACTTTTTATGGTTAAAGACCTACTCTTTTTACTTAGCGATGCAACGAGGAATTCGCCTCCGTCTGTCCGGCGACGACTGAGTCTCCCATTTGCAATCGCGGCGGTGGCGCTCAATAGATTGACGCCTTCTCAACATTCCTTTCGTAAGCGATCATAACTGACACAATCCTCGGTGATACTCGTCATGTATGCCACGGCACACTTTAGTACATCAGCCTCCCAACTGCAATCAACGACACTTTAGAGTCCGTGTTGGCCACAGTATCGGGATGGATTGGTAGAGAGGAGTTTTTCTGTCATTTTTCTCACTGCATTCCTGTTTAGTTGTTACAACCTCTCTCATGCCACTGCGATGATCGCGATGTTGACTTATCAGACCATTTTAATTAAGCAGCACATGTCCTTCTAGATCGCAGGTCCCCGTGGATTACTCTTGTTTTTTTGCATCACAGCCACTTGTTTATTGATCCTCTAGTTCTCACTGGTCGTTTCATCTCATTCTTCTGAACGAAAGCAGTCCGGATTTAATGCGAGTTGAGTAATCGCTCACTGGAGACAATTGATGGTCACTGGCCACATGTTTGCCAGACCCTTACTAGTAGCGGGCAAATCCTCATGTGATATGTCTGAAAGCCAACATGGACATTGGGTCTCTTCACAGTCTCTGGAACTTATCGACGCTCGCCGGCATATCCCTGCTGGAAGCGAGCACCAATGAAACTCGCAAAGAGCTCCGGGCAAAACTCCGTGCTAGCCTGAAGAAAGATCGCGAATCTTGGTGGTCTGTTCGTGCGTCAGAGATGGAAATGGCCCGTTTCTCCGTGGGACGAGTGTCGTTTCTCTGCGGGACAAATGTCGCTTCTCCGCGGGACGAGGGTCGCTTCTCCGTGGGACCATGGTCGTTTCTTCGTGGGACGTGGGTCGTTTTGGCGCGGGGCGGGGTGCGGCGGGGGGATAGAACACTCCCAAGCGCACCGTTTGGCAGCAGCGGAGGTTGAGGTCCTGTCGGCCTTTTTCTGGGCCAGCCAGATTTTGTAGTCCGACAAGCCCGCTCCAACGGCTCGCCGAAATGCACCCAGCCCTGCAATCAATAAGTAACAATTCATAAACGGCACAGCGGACTCCGAATTCCGACGAACCCCATTTACACGAACGCACGCACATTTTTCCTTGGCACGATTTTGCCTTACGAACCACGTTTCAACATTCCTTTTCGATTTCGAAGGCTTTCTATGATCAGCCATCTAGAGGGAGTTCTGTAGCGCCCAAAAGGACAACTCTTATCTTTCATGTACAATTTACTTGTTGACCGATTGTACATCATTCCTTCTTGTTTTAATCGTCCTTACAACCGGCTCCACACAACTGCCTTGTAAGTTCCCGCGCTCGAGTGTACGCTCTCGTCTCTCTTCATCCGTCCGCTTCTTATTGTAGCCCATCGAATACAGTCCGCTGTGTCCGACTCCCATTGCCTTCTGATATCCGCGCTTAATTACGCGCACCGTCTCGGACTAGTGTTCACTAGTCCTACAGGCGGCAGCAACCCTTCGTAACGTGTCCTGTATAGTCCATAGATCAGATGACACCAACACGCCGAGGTCTTTTTCAAGGATTGAGTTTCTCAGCAACGCCCCACAAATGTGGTACGTGCTGAAAGGCTCAGGAGATCCAATGGGGAGGACCGAGCACTTATCGCGATTTATGGGCAACCGCCATTTAACTGACCACGCATGTAGCGTATCAAGTGTAGTCTGTAACCGGTCCGCATCGTCAAGACAGGATACCTCCATCCATAACTTCAAGTCATCAGCGAAAATCAAGCAATCCAACTCAAGTTCCGCCGGGAAACCATTGAGGAAGATCTTGAAAAGTTCTGGGCTTAGGACTGATCCCTGAGGGACGCCGTTAGTCATGAGCACAGGAGCGGAGTAAGTCTCGTTCGCCTCGACCCTCATTGCCCGGTCATGCAAAAAATCAGTGATCCAAGAGAGGACGATCCCAGATACACCGATTAATCGTAGTTTATAAAAGAACCATTCGTGAGAAACCTTGTCAAAGGCCTTGCTGAAGTCGACAAAAATAACATCCAGACGTTTCCCAGTGTCTAATGATTTCGCCCATCTTTCACGGGCCACAAGAAGATTTGAAGAACATGAGCACGTCCGCCGAAAACCATGCTGCGCACAAGCGATGACGTTTAGGCGCTCGAGGTGGAGAAGTGCCCGCTTGAGAATCCTCTCCATTACCTTGCATAATATTGAAGTTAAACAGCTGGGTCGATATTTGGCAGGATTTTGACGATCCCCTCCATTGTGTATGGGCTTAACAATCCCCACTTTCCAAGCAATCGGGTGCCGTCCAACTTCAAGAGAATGCCGAAATACCCGGCAAACAGGAGCGGCAATGTAATCGGCCACAGTCTTGAGGAACAGTGGATGCAACACATCAGGACCCGGCGAGGAGTTTTGAATCTAATTCACGAATGCCTTTGGCAACATCATCAGCGCTCATTTCTACATGCTCCAACGAAGAAGGGAGCATTGGCACCGCATCACTGGTAAATGCCGTCTCCATCGAGTAAACTGACGAATATAGTATGGCAAGGAGACTGGCTTTCGCAGCGTCATCGGCAAGTAAACCCACATGCGCCAAGGAATACAGTACCGGTATACCACTTCCTGCTCAGGTATTTCTCTTCAGGTAAGAGAACAGTGCCTTGGGAAATGTCTTGGTTTGCTTAGCCAAACCGAGTTCGTACTTTTGCCGTTTCTCTGGTTTTTTCAAGTTGCAGATATTCCTGGCCGCTTTATATTTCAAATAGGCAGATTCGGATTGCCTGAGCTTGAGTCGGACCCACAGTGTCCGTCTCGATCACTCCATGGAGGACCTCTGGCAAAAGGTCTTTGTAGACGGAAACGATTTGCTCAACGAGCGAAATCCTTTTGGAATACAAGAGGTTCCACTCTTCGTCCAGATCCAGGGGTTCAGGTATACTCCAGTCCGCAGTACTGGCGGCCGTTTGTAGGCGTTGGGGATCAACACGCCAGAAATTTCTTCGGAGGCAACCTTGGTTATGGAGAGTTAGTCGTCGAGTCCAGCGAAATGAAACCACACAGTGATCGCTTTACCAATGGGCTGAAGAACGGCTAGGCCGGTGACATCTGATTGTGCCAGTGAGAGTACAAGGTAAAGAATAAGGGGTGTTTGTACTGCAATTATAGGAGTAGGCGCTTTGACATGTTGGAATAAGTTACATTCGATAACCGTCCCTAAAAGAGCGAAATCAAAAGCTTTTGAAGAAGGAACACAATGCGGTTGGTCCCGGTCGATACTCGGGGCATTGAAATCACCCAGTAATAAGCAGTCCTTGCCTCCACCATGCATTTTGATCGCGTCCAGCAGGCAAGCTCCGGAACCCAATGGGGCCCTGTAGACAGCACCGAACATGAGAGATCTGCATCCGTCACGAACACGGCACCAGATCGTTTCGAATTCGCCATCGCTGCCACAGGTAGCTTCAACCATATGAGCCTTGAAATCCGTCTTCCAATAGAGTATCACACCGCCCCCAGGTCTTCCTCCATGGCGGTCTGCCCGGTGAAGGTGGTGTCCAGGGATCTGCACCTTTTGAGTCCAGGATATCCGAGGGCAACCAGGTTTCGGTGAAAGCTAGAAGATCCGGTCGATTCATGGAGGCAAGAAACTGAGCTTCGTCCAGTTTGTTTCGGACTGCGCACATTGGAAGAAATAACGCGCAGCCCGTCCTTCAACTCTAACGCCCGAGCAGTACAAGGAGTGGTCTCCAGCGAGTTCTTGGCGTTTTTCGAAGCATGCGAAAATCCACGATATGAAGGTCCGTCTCATCGTTAT